GGATTACATGCACGCATATCTGCCTGAGATCTGCCTGTCTGTCCGTCTGTGTTGTCTCTCTAGCCTCCCAGTGTGTGCCTACGTATCCGCCACAAGGTCCCTCCCCTCGCCGATCACATACTGAGGCAGACAGCACATGCATTTGACCCGCACATCAGTCAGGGGAACACGGGACTCTCTCTCAGAGCGGACGGCACGAAAGTGTATGTGTGGCTGGCTACCTCTCTCTCTCTCTCGGTTGGCTGAGATCAGTTGGTCGTCTGGTGTGTTTGGCTGCGCGTATGGGTGGCTGGCATGCTTCGCGTGTGGGTTTGACCGTTGCCAGAGAGAGGACATCCGCACCATGACACTTTTGTAACAATGATCATGGGCCATTTGAATGGTCGTGACGCCCGCGGGTATGGGTCATTCAAAAAACTGCTGTGTCTCGTGCACAAACGTCACGAGAGGGACTGAATCTGTCTCTTGAAAGAGCGAATCGGATGCCTACACATTTATACTGCGCTTGAGCCGAGGCAGGGCTGCCTGCGCCCCATGCTCATGCTCTGCTCTGTCGCACACAGATTCCATGTATCCTCTTCGCTCTTCTACGCGAAGAGGATGGCTTGTGTGCAGCGTATGTCATGTTAGGCCCAGCGCACATTCAGGAAAAGAGAGAGACGAGGACCCAGAGAGGCTTGTCTGCGTGTTGCGTGGGGTGTGTGTGAATGTGTGTGTTCAGGGTTGTGTGTGTGGGGTGTGTGTGTGTGTGTGTGTGTAAACGAGACACAAATCGAATGCACCATTAGTCCACCGTTAGTCGTCTAGTCCCACCATGCCACCCCACCGTGTTCTACGACCAGACGGACACGATCACACGCATAGTCATGCCATGCACGTCCCTCAACCAGCTTTGCCCCACAAACAAAGTCCCTTGAGAAAAGCACCCATACAGAACTCCACGCCCACGCAATAACGCAGCTCTTTGTGCCTCTCTGAGCCTCAGCCACTGGCACTTGAGGGACTTGAGGAGGGAGGGTCCCGGTGTCTGCCCTCTCGCCGTAGTACTCGCATCTGTTGAGCACCGCTACCAATTTCTGTGTCAGCGGGAGCGGGCTCCCTGGGCGTGGGGGCCGCTGATGGTCACACACACACACGTGCACAGGCGTGTGTCAATGTACATGTCAGCAGCTTGGAGGAGTGTAGGTACCGTACTGTGAGACTCGAGTCTGATTTGCTCTTCCACCGTTCGCCACACGAGTTTTCTCACGACGAGCGGATCATCCTCCGTCTTGCCCCTGAAGACACACACAAGGCCCGACACACACACACACACAGCCTGTCCTTATGTCCGCGCGATTCCAACGGTCTTTCCTTACTTGTCGCCCAAGACGGCCTCGATGGGCCACTCGTCACTAGCACTCTCATACCCAACGAGCTCCACATCAGATGGGATGAGGGACATGAAGCTCTTGACGTCACCAACAGTGTTGAAGGGACGGTATTGCACCCAGTCCGCTATATCGGTACAGAGGACGACATCGCTGTGTTCGTATCTGAACCAGCGATAGTGTTCCGGACGAACATTAACCGCCCGGGGAAGGAACGGCATCTCTCCACGTCCTGTCATCTCACACCACGCCGCGATTGCCAGTTTTACAGTTCCAGTTTGCGTACCTCCAGACAGCTATATATGGCGGTCAAGCTGCCCTCTTTCCTTGCCGCACCTGGACTGGCCTGGCTCCTCGGTCTTGACAAGTCACCGATCTGCCACAACCACACAGACATCACGCACACTGCCATTCTGAATCCCTCCCGCCCTCTCTCACCTCAGTGCGTCAGATCAACAGCACCCGGACGTGGCCAGCGAGTGAGGTGAACGTAGAGAGAGGCTGAGTGCTGATGCTGATCCACAGCTACAGACCCAGGCGCCTCTGTTGTAGTCAAGATCAGCTACCAACACCCAAAACAACCGAGGAAAGACGCGAGCTTGAAGCCAGAGCGATCATTGGCCAGTTGAAGCTGGCCGTCGTGCACTTTTTTATCGTGTTTATTGTGAGGCCCGTGCGTCGCATCTCACTCCCTCTCCCTCTTTTCCTCTGACTATTCCATCCGATCGATTGCAGCCCGTCCAACCATTACCATCGCCTCTCGAGAACCACTCGTCCTGACTTTCGTCCATCCCCATCACTGACACAAGTGCCAAGCACGGATGGATGAGCGGGTGGATGGATGGATGCGACAGTGGCCGGGTGCGTGCGGCTCGGCTGTGAGGGATCTGGAGGTGCCGTTGAGCCGGCTGTGAGGGATCTGGAGGTGCGCATCGGCTCGGTAAGTAAGTGTGCACCGCGCATGACATGACGCATGATGCATCAGAGAGAAATATGTAGTCATTGCAAAGGCTGATGCTGTTTGCCTGTGTGTTGCTGCCTCACTTAAGCATGCAGGTCTATTGCATCGAAGGCCCGTGTGCTGTTTTTCAATGCTGATGGACACCGGCATGCAGAATCGATCTAGCTCTCGCCGCCTCCCAGCTCATGAGGTCAGGGATCCATCCACGATGTTGAGCATCTCGGTGACGGTGATGAGGCCAACCGGGCTGACTCCGCTGACGGGCGACTCCGAGTCATCGTCCGCTTCATCCTCCTCCCCGCCGCTCAAGTACTTCGGGACGCTGTGCGACAACAAGGCCGTGACGGTGCCCATCAAGGAGTTCCCATGGGCCAACCAGCGGTTCGAGGTCGATGACGACACCGTCCTCTCACTGTGCCTGTACACCGCCCCGAGCGCGTGGCACTTCGACAACGGGGAGCGGACTCTCAAGCGGCAGGTCTTCTACCCGTGCCTGCTGCTCAACGACTTCGGCAACGACGACACCCGCACATACAGGTGAGATGGACGGGATGGATGGGGGTAGGGGATGGATGGATGGATGGATGGATGGAAATCTGCATGGCGGCTGCAATATGGCAGGTATGCGGTGGACCGTCCAGCTGGCGCAGTAGAGGATCCGACGGCAGGGCCGGATCCTATCGCTCGCGTCGACGTAAAGGAGGTACGTAAGGGCGGCGAGGCGACCAGCAGAGAGGGGGCGGGAAGGGCGGGAATGCACGTATGGATTTCACTCTTGCGGTTTTCTTTCAGGCTCTCCGTCTCTTCGAGTCCAACGGCAAAGAGATAGAGCGGCTCGACATCACCGCTGCCAAAGTCAACGTACGTAACCACCACTACCTCCCTTCCTCCCCCCGATCCTTTCTCATGCCATCCCGTCGGTCAGGTGACGATTCGTCGTCTGTCGACGACCCACCCGCTGCACTCGCTCAACCCGTCCCCACCCATCCTCCCACCATTGGCATCGGGCTACAGCCACACACGCGGACACATCAGTGACACGCCACACGCCATCGGCATGGGCATGGGGGTCGGCATGGACATGGACATGCGCGTGGCGATGCCCGTGGGTCGGGTGGCAAGTCCCTCTGGAAGGGCGTTTAGCACACAGACGGGGTCGGGTGCAGAGGTAGGGAGGGGGGGAGGAGAAAGGCCGCCAACAGTGTTGGTGCTGTATGTATACTCTGTCATGTGTGATGTATCCTTGTGCAGGGGTCGGGTGGCGGTCTTAGTGCTGAGAACGGTGATCTTGTGAGGCGCCGCATCATCAGTGGTGGGCCCTTCGCCTCCCTCGTTGCCGCCGACGGCAGACAGGATAGTGGTGGTGACGGTGTTGGCCAGCGGCAGCAGAACATAGAGGAAAACGTGGCCGAGACACTCAACACTGTGAGGAGAAACAAGAGAGAATGATGGAATGATGGAATCTTCTCTCTGTCCTTCCCCTCTCCCCATCTGTCTGTCAGGAGCGTTGTCGTGCAGCGACTAAGTTGGTGGAGATCAAGCACCAGCTCACGGTGGCCAATGACACCATACAAGACCTGCAGGTGTACATCAAACCCCACCCATCCAGCGTCAAGTTGCAGGCCTCTCCTCCATGTGTTTGTGTTGTGTGTGAAGGAGCGGATCACGGAGCAGGGTCAAGACCTGCAGGCGGCTCACAAACGACTGCAGAGAATACTGGTGGGTGGTGGGGCAAGGATGGATGGATGGATGGATGGATGGAGAGCCACGCACGACCAAGTCCATTCATTGTTCGTCAGGATGGCAAGGCATACAAGCTCTCCAAGGTCCTCGACGACGTATACGCCAATTAGGTACACAAAAGCACAGGCTTGAATGAGTCCCTCGGTGTGTGCTGTTGACATCTGGCATCTGTATCCATTAATCAGCTGCGGAGCTGTTTCGTCATCTGGCGGAACAGCCAAGACCAGCAGCCGCCCTTTGCTGTGCCCAGCCCCTTCGATGACCTCAGTTGAAGGGAGCTCCCGTCGGCATCTCAGCTTCCGTCGAATAACGGCGGCTTCCCTCATGTCGCCCCCTTCCCCCCTGACATGCCACTGACCCCTGGCGGCCTCGATGCTGGCGTGAGCAGCGCTGCGATGGGAAGCGTCGTGCTCAAGCCCAATGACGGCCCCTCGTCTGTGCAGCACTACATGGAGTCCATCGACCCCAATCCGGAAGCAGCTGAACGGATGCGTCTCTACCAGTGCGGACTCTCTCCCGCGCCACCTCTCGACGGCAGCAGCACCCACAGGATCCGCAAGCTGCTGAACAGCCTAGGGGCCAACACGGACGAGCAGCAGTCTGCCATGATACAAGGCGTGTGCGACATGCTCCGGAAGGTGCTCGAGGTGCACAAGACGGAGGTGCCTGCGGAGGAGGCGGTCAGGCCGAGGGATGTGCGGGGGGCCATAGTGGATCTGGGTCAAGAGCAGAGAGTGGGACGGCCGGCCTTTCGGAGGTACTATAGTTCCGACCAAAACAGCACCAAGTAAGTCAGACAGACAAGAGCAGCCATTGGAAGGATGGAGAAGAAAGAAGACACCTGTGTGTGTATGTATGGCTGGATGGCTGCCTGTCTGTCTCTTGTCTGTCTGTGTCAGCATCCTCCTTAGCGTGTTTGCAGTCGCATCTATCAGCCCCGAGCCGCCCCCTCATCTGTCATCGCCCGCCCCTGCCCTCCGGTCCTCCGGATCGTCCCCCCCACAGAGCTCTCCCTCTTCCCTGCGGACCTTCACCCTGCAAGTGGGCCACATCGATTCCGCGGGCCAGACAGAGGGCAGCTTCGACCCTCAAGGGAAGGAGACATCGGTGGCGCCAGACATGCGGTTCATCTGGCGGCTCAAGCAAGACCGGAACAACCACCGGCTCACTGCTGGCGTCAGCGATCCGCACGCCAAAAAGTTCTTAGAGAACATCACTGAATCCGACGAGGCCTTCCTGGACTTCCTGCAGAACGATCTGAAGTTCAGCTCCTTTGATTGCCGATCGGATCTCTGGACGGGGGCGATCGCTGCGGTCTCGTTTCTGTCGCAGAAGCCGGTTGTGGGCTGCCAGGATGGCGCTCTGCGATGGCACTTGTCCATCAACAGCCACAAGCTGTACCTCGTCCACCTTGCGGCCCAGCGTGCCGAGGCCAGGCGACGCGGCGCCGCGGAGGAGGGGTCAGGGGCCGAAGGAGGCGGGAGGCATCGGTCGCCATCCCCGAGCCGCTGGCTGACTGCGTCGAACGCGTCAACAGCGGGGAGGCGGGCTGGTTCTCCATCGCTCTCATGTGTCTCGACGTGGACGACCCGGAGTCCGACCAAGACGACGGCCCACAGACAGTGGAGGACTTTGTCGAGGGCTTGAGGTACTACTTCGACGTGTGGGACTTGCCCGAGGACGACCCAGAGGGCCTCATCATCGGACGAGGCGACCCAATCGAGGCAGCCAAGACAATCGTGTTCCACCGCCTCCTCACCGCAGCCGACCCGCTGCAGAGGGCCACGGCATCCGCCGAGGCCGCTCTAGAAATGCTGACGCGGCTGGTGGAGTCGAGGCCCATCAAGATCAAGGAGGGGCCCATGCGGCTGAGGGCTCAGAAGGGCGGTTGGACCACGAGCACTTCTATGTGCGGCTGACTGACGCGTCCGCGAGCAGGTGGGGCGATATGACTGTCATTGTTTATCGGTTTCTGTGTGGATGACGGTGTGGTGTGTCGCTGATATGGTGTCGTGCAGGGGCGAAGCACTGTAGCTCATGGCGAGATGAGGAGGTAACAGCAGCCCGGCCGTACAGTACCTGCCCATGTGTGTGCGGCAACAACAACAAGGAGAGGGTTGGCCTTCTCATCGCTGCTTACATTATTATATTCAGAGTTCCTTTACCTCTTCCCAACGCATAAGAGAGTGTGGTGTGTGTGTTGACTCTCTGACTGACTGAGACTGCCTTGATCATCTGTTTGTGCCACCGGCCACCCCGTGACGGCCGGGAAGAACTCACTGCAGCAATGACAATCACACCATCACATGCAAACTACACACACCTATGTGATGCTCACAGCCCACCCGCAAACAGCCATCATGATGGGTGGTGGACTGCTACTGCTGTCTCTGATGTGTGTGTCCGACTCTCGTTACCATGCCGTGTCTATCTGCCGCCCTCTCTGCTTGGTGCACAGCCAACCAGACCTTCGACGCACCCCAAGACACACGTTTCCATTGACGAGCATTTGCTGCCACAATCACTGTCTCGCAGTCTCAGTCTCGAACATGGCACGTCCCATCCCATCCCATCCCATATAGCTATGGCGTGCAGACAAAAGGAAGCTGCCTGCCACACTGTCCGCCATCTAGTTATGCATCACTCACTTCTCGCCTTTCTCTCCCACTCAACGAGTTTCTCGGCCATCAGAATGGCGTAGTAGAGGACGTCGCTCTCGGCCTGGTCGGCCTCCCTCTTGAGCAACTCGACATTCTCGGCCAGGCAGTCGACACGGTTCATGTCGGCCTCCATCAGCTCGGTCACCACCCGCTGGAACTCCTCACTGCTGCCGCCGTTGGCCTTGGACCCTTCCCCCGTGTCAGATCGACCAGCCGGGGGTGCCGCTGCTGCTGATGGAGGGGTGTGCTGGAGTGCGGCGATCGGGGGCATGTTCTTGACACTGCTCTCCCCGACGCCGCCCTCTCCTTGTGGGCCCATAGAGACTGCCTGCAGGCCGTTGAGGTCGACGAGCTGGAAGGCGAGGTTGCTGAAGAGTGTCAGCCGCACGGGTAGCATGTCGAGGAGGTGGGTGAACTGGAGGCGCATGGTGTCGGTGAGGGCGTCGGGGCCGATGGCCGCCTCCAGCCGACTGATGAAGTCCTTGGGCTTGAACTCTGCCCAACGCTCCGGCTTCTTCCACTCTGTACGCGACAACCACAAGGCACCAACCATGTGTGTCTCTCTCCCTGTGTGTCCCATCGATCTCGCCCATTCCCTCCCTCCCTTACGTACCTTTGAAGAGTACGAATGTGGGTGTGCCCCTGGCGACCGGGCAGTCTTTGGGGAAGTCGTTCCTCTCGATGTTGAGCCGCACAATCGTCAGCGGCACATTGTTGTCGGCGAGGATCTTGGCCACGCTGTTGACGAACGGCCGCATCAAGAAGCACAGGAAACACGTGTCCTCATAAAGCTGCACCAGCACCGGGTTGGTCGGCGTGGCCTGCGCCACCACCGCCACCTCGAAGGTGTCGTGCGTGATGGTCCGCACGGGGCACTCCGCCGTGTGCGCCACCTCATCGGCCGCCTGCGAGCGGGGCTTGAAGAACGTCAGGAGCTCTTCCAGTGGCACCGGCAGCTCGGTCAAGCCAGAGGGCGGGAAGGGCACCTTCAGCGAGGCGCGCCGCTGCCCCTTGTACATCATGACGTTCATCGGGGGGAGTTCGTCGTCGACGGATGCACCCAAAGGGATGGCATCGCTCGCTGCAGCCGCTGCTGCTGCTGAGGGCGTGCTGTCGCTGGCTGGGCTGTCAGCGGTTGTGCTGTTGGTCTCCTTTTTGGGCTTCTTGGTGCGGTAGGCGTAGAAGGGTTTGACATCCTTGAGCTCGTCGTGCCGTTGGAGAGTCTTGAGGAGCATGTTGGTGATGGCCCTCATCTTGATGCGGTGCTCCTGATCGTCGAAGAAGAAGACCATGAGGTTGTCGGTCTCCTCAAAGACCTTGTCGTCGATCATCGGCAGGCGGCTCTGCCGGTCCAGCCAGTAGAACAAGGGGTCACCCACACGGTCACGGAAGATCTCCTCCAGCCAGTGGAGCGTCGCGAAGCCGGTAAACCGCACTTCCACCATCACGAAGCCCGCAACCGCCAGAGCGCCCACCACCACCACCAAGAAGGCAGTCGAACCCCACACGCCCCACAGGAACGGCGAGGGGATCGCTCGGTGAGTCAGATGACGCGCTTGCAATGCACACGGGTGACTCAGGGGCGCTACACGAGGGGAGAGAGGCGGCTGAAACAGGGGGTGGCCGCGGGTGAGGCCTCGTGAGAGGGTGAGGGGAGTCCTCCTGCGTCCATACTGCAGACACCGGAACGAGCAAGATCTGGGCAGCAGGGGTGCGGGGCTGCTGCTGCTGATGATAGGGGGGCGCGTCAAGGGAGAGGGAACGTTGCGGGGGAAGAACAGCGGCTTCAGCCTCATGTGCTGCATTCACACGGCGGTCGTTTGGTTCGTTTCAACCTGCAAACCAATGGCACACAGACCAGACAAGGTCTTCATTCGCTTTCCTGTGTTGGTGTCGTGCCTACCAGATCTGGTCTGTAACACCCTTGCAAGGCATTCATCAAGCGAAGCCCTCGAGAAGCTCTGCAAGCCTCAGGACTCGGACGGCACAGAACCAAAACTTCTGAAGATCAAAACGCTCGATAGACTACAAAACCTCGCGCACTGCTCAGCAGCAACAAGATCTCAAGGAGGAATGGCCTGAGAAAGAAGGCGAGGCCAGATTGCGAGCTTAGAGAGCAGAGGTTCTTGCGTTTGAGCCTTGTGGGCGCAACGGGGGTGGCCTCTGTGTAGCCCTCTTCCCTTGTCTGGAGAGCGGTTTGGTCCTTGGTGCGCCCGATGACAACAGCGGCACAGGCGGCCATGGAGGACACGTGGAACTCAGTCTCCACTGAAATCAACGTCTGGCTTGAAAAGGTGACCACATACGCACGCACAGAGAATCAGGGCCTTATTTGGCGCCTGGGGCCTCTGTGTGTGTGTGTGCAGCTGACCCACGGCGTGCTGGAGGACCCGGTGTTCGAAGGTCGGCAAGACGCACCCACACGAGCAACAGAAACAGGACACTTTCGTTCATTGTGCGTGTGTATGCCGTTGGTGCTCCTCGGCTTGTTTCGTTTGCCTGCGACCGACTAGGGATCGTGCGTGAGTTTCTCAAGTACGACCACACTTTGCAGGAGGTGTTTAATGGCGTGGACAAGTTCATGCTGGGCATCGAGGCCGTCTGCGGCGGGCTCATGCACCTCTCGGACGCACTCGTCACCGGATTCACCAAGGGCACCGACGAACTCATATCGGCGGACAGCTGCAAATTCAGAGAGGTCATTAAGGAGCAAGCAACTGGGGGCACTTGGAGTGGTTCATCGGTGCTTCTGCCTCTGTGTGGCCTGTGTGTCTGGCTGGGTGCAGGCGACGAATGCCATCACTCGTGCGGATGCGCCGCACTCGGCTGTGGCCAAACTGGTGGGCATGGCCGACGAGCGCACGGCATTGCTGTATCTCGCTCTCTCTCTCCTTCCCTGCTGCCTGCTCTGTGCCTGTGTGTGTGTGTGTGTGTGTGTGTGTGTTAGCGTCGCGATTTGGATTTTAACGTGACGGGGCCGCTGAAGCAACACCTGGCCAACAACAAAAACCTCAAGGTCAGTCAGTCGAGGAGCGAGGGAGGGGAGCACCATCACATCACATGGCACTTGTTGACGTGCCTCTGTGTGTGTGTGCAGATTCAGCTTGAGAATCGCAAGCGGAAGCTGCTCGAGCTGCAGGCCGCAAAGTAACCACATACAACAGCACGCCCCCCACACACAGGTTGTGACTCCCATGGCCGTTTCCTTCTCTCCCTCTTGTGTGTTCAGGAAGAGTTTCCAGCAGGTGTCGTCCAACAAGAATTTGCGTCGGCAGGACAAGCGGTACCTGCAGGCCGAGTCAAACCTCGAGTCGGCACGCCTCGCATTCACAGAGATTGACAGACAGGTATGGGGATGGCAGCTGCTTTCGTGCGCCTTCAGCTGGACAAGACTGTGTGCGTGTTGGGTGCGTGCAGGTGTTTGAGTGGCTGCACATCTTGGACGAGTACAAGGGCGATATCTACGACTCCACACTTCAGACACTCAAGGTACGTCACGTCTGGTGCAGTGCACCCAACCACGTGAATGTCTTGGTGCGTGTGATGTCATGTGTGTGTGCGTCGAGTGCAGTATCTTCAGTATGAGTTCTTCGCCGCCTCTGCCCATGCCGTCAACCACGTGCTGCCAGGCAAGCAATGAAGCAACCACACACTGTATGAGAATGGCTCATTCGTGTCACCTCTGTCTGCTTGGGTTCAGCCCGCATGGAGTTCCGTCCGATGATCGAGATGACACCACAGCAGCTCGAGCCACAGGTGGGTGGGATGGGTGGGAAAGGAACGCGGCACACAAGGCAAGACAACATGTTTCGTTTGTCGGTCGGTGTATGGTGTGGCTGGTTGATAGGTTGAGTTGGAGCTTCAGGAGGGCGGCGAGGACGACGGAGATGCAACAATGAAGATACTCGAGAAATGGGAAAAGGTCACCACAGACAGACAGACGGACAGGAGGACAGACGGCACACGTGTGCGATAGATGAATAGCCGGCCATGCGTGTGGGTGTATGTGTCCCATTCCTCTGCAGGATGGTGCGTTTGCTGATGTGGCTGACTCGTCGGTGCCAGTGGATGCCCTCTCGCTCTCAGCCCTCCTCGCGCAAGTAATCCACCCCACCCCACCCAACACACACCACACCACGCCACACCACACCCCAGAACCACGTTCACAGTGCACGTCGTTTGCAGGGATTCGACGAGGGTCCGGCTCGCAAGGCGTTACGGATGCACAACAACGACACGCAGGCGGCTCTCGACTGGCTGCTCGACGGCCAGCACGAGGAGAAGAAAAAGATACCCGCCGACGCCGTCAGACTGCCGTCAACCCTAAAACGGGTCGGCATCCACGAGTCCTCACACAACAAACACATCCATCGATGGCATCGCCCCTGGTCGCAACGTGTCCGCCCGCAGGTTCAGAAGATGAAGGAGCGTCGTCGCAAGGAGCGCGAGGAGCGCGAGAGGCGTGCGCGTGAGCGTGAGGAGGCCGAGGGTGAGATTGAGCGGCGGGAGAGGCGGAGGGCGTCACGCAGAAGGGACAGGGACCGCGATCGGGACAGAGATCGGGAGAGGGAGGGCGACATGAGCGAGAGGAACAGAAGCGACAGAGACGTAAGTAGCCGGGGGAAGGAACAGATGGGGCACCTATCAGACATGGGCGCAGGAATGTTTGCATTTGGTCCCTCTTTGTGTGTGGTGTGTGGTGTGTGGTGTGTGGCGTCAGCATGACGATGAGAGCAGCACGGGCTCTCATAGCGGCCGCAGTCGCAGACACGGAGCCAAGGCTGCGCAAGAGACCTCACTCATCGATTTCGATACCGAAGAAGGTACACACACACACATAGATGCATCAAGACACACCAAGACACACAGGCCACAGCAACCTCTGTTCGTTCCCTTTTTCATCAAATCAATGAAATCAGTTGGTGGCAAGAAGCCCCTCGGTCCGTCTGGTGACCTGTTAGGTCTGGACGAGCAGCCGCCGGCCCCGGTGGACTTCAAGGAGCCATTCGACGTGACGCCCCTCCCGGACGCCATGGGGTCATTCGACCCCAACCAATGCACACGTACGTGAGACTGAGGGAGGCACTGATGAATGACACGCACCTGGACGGATGGATGGATTGTTCTCCCCTCCCTCTCTATGTCTGTCTGTCTGTGTCCAGTGTCTAAGAATTTTGGTAGTGGTGTGTCGGGTGTGGCGCCGGTGCCGGCGCTCCCCGCCCCGCCGAGCAGCCAGTTCACCATGCAGCACCCGGGCGGCGGAATGGGTGCAGGCATGCAGACACCAGGTCTGTCCTTAGGGGGATGGGATCCTCAGACGCCCACAGGCTCACTCACTGACATGCACGCTGAGTGTATGTGTGTATGTGTGATGATGTGTGTGCAGGGAGCATGCCAGCGATGCACATGAACATGAGCATGGGTTTCCCCAACATGAACATCAACGTCATGCAGCCCCCCAACGCACCGGGATACGCACACATACAGCCAAACGCCGGGGGTGTGCCCAACATGGTGTGCAGTGCAGTGCAGGCCACAGTACCAACACCCACAATGCAATGCACACAAACCGATCGATGAATGCATTCATTGTACGTCTCGTCTATCTCTCTCTGTCAGGGCGGATTGTCGTTTCCTGCTGGCGGCCAGCAGCAGCAGCATCAGCAGCAGCGGGCGATGAGTCTACAGAACCCCTCGATGAGTGGCGGCGCCGTGCCGTGGCAGCCCCACAGCCACCAGCCCTCCCCCACTGGCAGCGGGTCGCCCCAGACCCTCGGCCCCCAGGGCATGTCCGCCCCCATGACGCCATACATGTCGTGCGCGCCGTCGTCCGCCGCCTCCCCGCAGCAGAAAGGAGCCGGAGGCCAGCAGCTGGAGGACCTGTTCGCCTCCATGTCCATGACGGTGGGCGGTGGCACCCAGCAGCAGCAGCAGCACCAGCAGCAGATGATGAGCCCCCCGGGAGTGCAGGACATGAACCTGCGGACCATTGGGGGCATGTCGTCGAGCAGCGGGGGCGGGTCGGACCCCGGCATGAACGGCCTGGGGATGGGGGACATCAGTGGCCGGTCCAACAGCCCGCCTGGCGGTGGGGGCAGCGGCAACCTGCTCAATCTGTCACCTGCGAGTGGGAGCGGGTCCACGGGGCCGATGAACCTCTTGGGGCAGGCGCAGGGGGTCGCGGCCAAGGATGACGACACGCCACCTGGAGGCATGAACTTCCCAACGGTGAGGGAGGCAGGGATGCAAAGCTTATATTTCAGAATGTCTGTGCATGGTGTTCGTTCGTCTGGTGTGTATGTGGTGTAGGGTGCGTCTGGTGTGTCGTCGTCTGGGTTGTCATCGACCGAAGGTACCACCGCGCCCCTCACGCAGCCCCCTGCCTGATTGACGCTGCCTGCCTGAACTGTCTATCGTGCTGTCGAGACAGAGTAATCAGTACAGCAGAAAGGACGGACACACGCGCCATTCATCCTCACCTCGCCAGCCAGCGAGATCCATTCTCGTTTCCTGTGGTTGGTTGGTTGTGTAGATGACCTGCTGCATCTGGTGCCGTCGGATGAGGTCAAGATGGAGGCCGGGCCACGGCCTCCCGGCGGACGATAGCCTCACAGACACGCACGGTGGATGGCTTGGCTTGGCGTCACGTGCCTGCGTGGTGTGAGCGATGATGGCCTGGGTGTCTGCCTGTCTGTTTTCTGTTTTGCTGGGTGGCCTGTGGGCTTGGCTGGCTGGCTGGCGGGGCGGTGCTGCTCTTTTTTACACCGTTTTCTTATCTCTTGCCTGCCTGCCCTTCGAAGGAAGTCATTCATCGGGTTGCCCTCGTCCTGTCTTGCTGTCTTGCTGTCTTGCTGGCTGCTTGGCTTGCTGTATGTGTGTATTGATTGATGTGGGTAACTGAGGGTGTGGACGGAGTGAGTGACGATCGTGCAACCTGCCGGCTCGTGACGGATGGATGAATGGACGAGTCTAGTGGGGCAGAGAAGATGATATACTTTCAAGGCGAGGCGACACGAAGCGAGCTGCGGCCAATTAATCCCCCTGTCTGTCTGTCTGTCTGTCTGTGTACCGGTCCTGGTCTCCTCTCCCTCTCTCTGTCTCATTCACTCCCTGTCTCTCTGTGTACCCAATTTTTGTTGTTTGGCGTGCCGTGAATGTATGTCTGTCCGTATGGATTGTGTGGCGTGGCGTGGGGCGAAGAGTGGCTGGCTGCAAGCAAAGTGGGTATGTAAGGGAGGCGTGCACAATGCCCTTGATGCGTAAATGCCTGCCTGTCTGCCTGTCTGCCTGCCTGTCTGCCAGCGCTCCAGCATGATGGGACCAGACCAACGCATCCATGGACACGGACATACACTCGGACACTCAACAACGTTCTCTCTCCCCCGTGTGGTTCATTCGAATCGCATCGCTCCATCAATCGCAACCCCAAGTTATCTTCATACACGGATGTCCTCACGCCCGTCACACTATGGCAGCAATACATAGCAAATAAATGCACTACGCCGTCAATCAGTATACTACACTCGATAATCGACAGCTTCACGTCATCCATGCATCCATGCATCCATCATCCGAACAGCCCCCAGTCTCTGATCTGAAACGTCTCGAGCAGACTCTGGAACTGCTGCGGCCCCTCCTGGTTGAGGTAGCTGTAGGCGTCATGAAGCGAGGTCCCGTTGGGCACGCCGACATGCGAGGCTGGGGCGCTGCTGCTGGCGGGGCTGAGGCACCGGGGGTCGTTGAAGCTTATCAACACCTCTGAATGATGCTCTGACACACCACACACACATGCGGCAGAGATATGCTGAGGGGATGTGTGAAAGGTGTGTAGTGGTGGCGTGGCCTGCGTGTATGCTGCGTACCGGGTAGCCTGATGATGGCCATGTAGATGGCGACGACATTGGCGGCTTCCCTGCCCTCCCTGAACTTGCTCACCGTCTGATGGCCCATCACCAAATACTTACAAATCGAACCACTGACATTCACAACACACACACGCAGAAAGAATCAATCATACTGCAGTGTGGTTTGTCTCCTCCGTCTGTTGAGGCACACTCACTCTAGGTTAGGCATGATCGCTGGCTCCAGGCGGATCACCTGCAGCACCTCCCACGGGTCGGCCTCATTCACCTCAGCCAAATCACGAAAGAAATACCTGCAACGAACACATACAAGCAACAGACAAACACTCATTCTGTCGTGGCCAAGAGGTGGAGTCAGCTCGTGTGTGATTGGCTGACCTTGGTGCGTCTTGGTCGGTGACGGTTTGTTGGTACTGCACGACTTCGAACATGAGGCTGCTGTCGGTGTGGAAGTCAGCAAACACCTCCTGGTTGTCGGGCACATCACGGATCTGACTGAATCACCAAGGTCACACACACACAAATGAGATGAATGCATTCATCCGCTTCAGTCCTGCTGCCCGCTGCCATCACTGTCACTGCCTTGTGTCATTCATTTCCTGGCGGTTCTCACCTGACGTCGGCGAAGCTCTGCGGGATGGCGCATCTCATCGCGCCGCCGAACAGATCCACTTCGCGGAACGACATTGTGCAGCAGATCACTCATACGCGAAGCCCGCAACGGCTCCTTCTCCGACAGCAGCGGTTCCCCAATGCGAGCTCAGATCTGTCTCGGCTAAGCTCGCAGACGGCGAGTTCGCTGCTGGCTCTCTGAACAGATGCCGTCGTTCATCTGTGACGTCTGCCACGACGTCGTCAAGAAGCCAAAGATCGACTCACACTGCCAGACCAAATGCCCAAACGCATGGTGAGGACAGAAGATGGACACAAACACACAGGCCGGGAGCGTGTGTGCACTCCTGTGGTGTGGTTGTGTGTGTTGGTGTTTGTCAGGGTGTTCACGTGCATCGACTGCAAGAAGGAATTCGCCGGATACGAGTACATGAATCACAACTCGTGCGTCACAGGTGGGTGGCCACGAAGGAAAGCAACGAACAGGCGGACACACAGAGAGATCTGCCGTGTGTCTGGATGTGATGTGTTGGGTGGACTGGACAGAGGAGGACAAGTACCATGGCCAGTATGCCAAGAGCAAGAAGCAACATGGCAAGCCACAGACAGCGACCACTACAGCCGCACCGACGCCAAGCAAGCATCCGCCATCACAGCCGAACGGCGTGGTGAAGCGGCCCTTGCAGAACGGGGTACGGCGGGTCACTGATGCAGGCAGGCACTGAATGATTCTGTGCGTGTGCCTATGGATTGGCTCTTCTGTGTACGTCCATGTGGGCGCCAGGTCCATCCAGTGGGCAGAGATGGTTCGCCTGTGAAGAAGGCCGCAAAGACAGAGGTGGGTGCACAGGGAGAGAGGGAGGGAGGGAGAATCATAGCTTGCTCGCCTACCCATCATGGCTCCTCCGTGTGGGTGGTGCGTTGGTTCAGGATGCTGGTGGGTGGAGGGGTTGGAGGGAGACCATCCAGAGCGTGCTCAAGAAGGCGCCAAATCATTCCCTGCCATGGAGGGGTCTGTGCGAGCAGGTCATCCCCATCTACCGGCGGACCCACCCCACGTCATCCCTCTCCCCTCAACAGCTGCAGGACACATGCCTTGCCAGTATCCCAAACGCCTACCTCTCGCACCACAGTGCCATGGTCACCATAAAATGAATGCTGTCTGTCTGTCTGTCTGTCTGTCCATTGAGGGATGGAGGAGGGACAACTGTGCGTCCAGCTGGCGAGAGCTGGGGGGAGGACTGACTTAGTATGATGATGTGCGTTGGCTACCTGGGTGTGGGTACATGGGGTGAGTGAGTGAGTGGTGTCAGTCAGTGATGTATAGAATGAGGGAGGGAGGGAGGGAGGGAGGGATTGACTGGGGGGTTGGGACTTGACGTGTTTAGTGGTCATTGACATAAAGGCAACGGAAACCAAATGACAAACGCACCATGCTCGCTTTCATCAGTCTCGAACACACGGGCGCACGGCGCCAGCTGCTGCCGCCACGATAAACGTCGGTCGGCACCGAGTGGGTGAAACCCCTCCCTCCTAATTCATGAGGCTGCACTTAATTATTGCGTCAGTCACCACTCGCTTCCTCACCAGCCATCAGCAAAGCGCTGTCAATGGTGCCGCCGCCAGAACTACAGTTCAGTTTTGCCCTCCTTCTTGGCCTTCCTGGCATCCCGCGCCTTCCTCCTCACGTCATAGTCAACTAAAGGCCCGTCGCGATCATCTGACACACGCCACAGTCACAGTGCACGATGAATGCCACAATTGCTTTCTTGCTCATCATCTCATCTATCCGTGCTGCTGCCGACCCGGGAAGAATCTCTTTCGGTTGATCTCAAACCAGTCGGTCTCTCGTTGTGCGAGTGCGAACTCCCTGACCTTGTCGGCCTGGTCGGCGTTTTGAGTCATCAGGAGGATCTTGCCGGGGTCGACGGCATAGGCCTGGACCTGGATGTGGCCCATCTCGAGCATGCTCCGCCATCGCACAGCTATCTTCTCCGTCTCCTGCTTCTCCTTCTCCTCCTGCACACACACACAGGCACAGGCAGAGGACACACAGACGTCTGCAGTGGTCAGAGATCCCTCTTTCTGCGTGTGTCATGGTGTGTCTGTCTCTGCAGCATTGTCTGCTTACGTATTCGAATTTGAGTGTGGCGAATGTCATCTGTGGTTTGTTTCTCTGCGCATCGAAGATGGCCTGCGGGTTGAAGTTTTTGGGGTCGAACTTGGGCATCTGCTGCATCTGCTCCATACGAGCCTTGGCTGCCTCACGCCGCCGACGGGCAGCTGCCAACAAAACACGGAATGCCTTTTCTCACTGCAGATCTTTGCTTCCGCGCGTCTGCTCCCTCACCTCTGACGTCGTCATCGTCCTCCTCTTCGTCAATGTCCTCATCATCGTCATCCTCCCTGGCGGCCGCCGACTCGCGAATGGGAAACACTAGCAGCAGCACCAGCGCCAGCAGCAGGGAGCAACGCACATACAGCGACACCGATGCCATCAAATCGGGAGAACGAAAAGGTATATATTTTCCCCTTTGAGAACACGTGTAGGGTTAGGGTCTAGGGTTTGCAAGGATCGCAGATCTTTCTCGCAGTTCTTTCCCCTTCTTCCTGTCGTCTTATCGCATCTTCATCGCATCGTTATCGCATCAGTGTCCTGCCTTTTATCGCACACATCGCATTCGTCATGGAAATCACACCCGAGAGACTCACCATCGGTGTCCTCGCCCTCGGTAGGCCGACAGCAAGGCAGGCAGGGCGGTGGGCAGGGGACAGATCTGTCAGCTGATGCGTACACCAGCTCCGCCGCCGCCATCAGCAGTCACAGACACACGCTTCCCTTTCCCTCTGTCGGTGTGCGCGTGTCTTTCTGCGTCTGTCTGCAGGCATGCTTGTCCTGATGGGCATCCAGACCATCACCTTCCAGAACAAGATGGACAGAATGGAGGGAGTCGTCAGACAGCTGTCGAGACAGGTGAGGGGGTCGGTGCATCAGGCAGGCAACCTCACGAGACGTCTCACTGTCTTACGTGCCTGTCTCTTGGGCACTGCCCAGGGCCTCTCTGTGCAGGTGCATCCTGCAGTCGCCAGCCGGCTCCGCGCACTGCAGGCGGTCAGCGAGGCCCCTGACGGCGCGCGCAACGACACCATGGCATCGACGGTCCCGCTGACCTGGTCAACGACGCCATATGGTGTGCTGCGTGTCAACGACGAAATTGTCTCCACTAAGGAATATCTCGAGGGCATCGACCTCTTCGACCTGCTCACCATCGACCTCAACGATCTCTACAAGGTGAGGGCGAAGGAAAGCCAAAGTAGAGGAGAGAGAGGTTGATTATCCGTGTGCTATGTGGCGGGTGCGTGCAGCTGGAGGGACTGGTCCTTTCGTTCGGCGAGGGCAAACGGTGAGGGAGTCAGGGAGAGATACGTATTGATGGATGGATGGATGGATGATGTGTGTGGTGCGTGTGCTGTGGTCTCTTTCGACGGTCAGATTTGAGTCCATGCAGAAAATCGCCGAAGTTTTCAGGTCAGCGAAGGGAAGACCGACCGACCGACCGACCAAACACACAAACACACACACCCGCCACCAAATGATGTGCCCGTATGCCTGTATCATGCTGTCTGCAGGGACTACGACGCACCCATGGTAGAGATCTACTTCGAATCAGGCGACCGCCTGGTCGTCGGCAAAGGTACACATGCCACGCCACACACACACATGCCATGCGTCCATCCTTGATGCAGAGGGTGCCGCCTTCTTCGACAAGAGCGACATCCGCACCCCGCAGGCCCTGTTCTCAGGCCCCGACCTGGCCGACGACACGACTGGCCCCGAGCTCGTCAACATGCTCAACGGCACCTACCAGGCCATGCAGAAGGAGCTCTTCAACCTCTTCACCATCAACGAGGAGGGCGAGCTCGACATTGTGGGCGGCAATGGTGAAGATAACGGCACCAGGCGACTGCAGATTCAGGACACGTCTTAGTGAGTCAAATGGGATGCATATCGGGCGGCTGATGAGATGAGATGAGATGAGGTGCATCGGTTCATTGCCTTTTTGCCTGTGTGTGTCTACAGCCGCTGGGACGGTAGCTCTGACCGCATGGATGTCGCATTCGGCCACCACGGGCTCGGAAGAATGGGTGCGCGAGGATGGATGGAGGAAGCACAGGATAAAGAACGTGCGAATGTCCTGTTGGTTGTGTGTGGTGTGCAGCCAAGACGATTGACCTCAACAAGGCCAACATGCTCATCAGAGCCAACACAGGGTACGTCACTTCACACACACCGAATACGCAACACAGAGGGACGTCGACCACTTGCTGTGCTGTGCTGTTGTGCTGCTCTGTTCTGTCAGACGGTGCGGCGAGGGGGATCGGTCCCACTGTATCCGGCGGGCGGGGCTCAACTGAGTGTGTGAATGACTGACGGAATATTGGTATTCGTGTGTTACTTGCTGCTGCTTACGTGTGCTGGTGTTGGTGTGCGTACGTGTGTTTGTGAGTCCCTCTTTCGATTTCGAGGATCGAAACACCCACTTTTTTCATGCAACCATTCCTTCCATGAGGAAGAGAGGGGCGCGCTCCATGTGTGCATGTCAAGTCGTCGTTTGCACACACATGGCACGGCACATGACATGGACAGACAGACAGACATGTGTCAATCAACATGTGTGTGCTTTCTAGTAGGGGCGTGCGTGAAAGCGTCGGTTCGTTCGTTTGTGCGCGAGTGAAGCAAGTGAAGTCAGGCAGGCAGGTCGATTACGTACGCTGTGGCTGAAGCGCCGCAGACAGCGGGGAAGGGATATTTTTCCTCTCGTGGACGCGATCGGTGTGTCTCGCAAGCACACAAGGAGGAAAGGCTGGCGTTCAACTGCTACAGTGACTTGAACTGTAGTAGTACTTGAATGCAGTGAGCCTGTCGTTCTTGTGCGATGCAGACAGACAGATCGGCAGTAACGGTTTAACCAAGCACTTGCTGTTTTTATCATCCTGGTGGCTGCCTTGTGCGCTGCTCTTTTCTTTCGCTCTGGCTGAGGGGTGGGGTCACACACTCATCCCTGAATACGATTCTCTCCACGCACATCGTTGGACGCACGAGATGCAGCGGCCTTTCGCCGTCAATGTCGAGACGACACCACTGACCTGACTCCTTTCTCTCTGGTCGTTTTTATCTCGTTCGGGCGTGGCGTGGGTATATGTGGGTGTGTATGAAGTACCTGTACGCGTGTCGATGGCCATTATTCGGTCGGCTATGTGTGGCAACTGGGTGGGTGGGTGGGTGGTTGCGTGGGCTTGTGAATGTATAGGCGAATGATGTGGGAAGCTACACAGGGTGTGAGGGACATGCCAAGAGTTCTGCCGTGCAGCCTCACACGGCAAGAACTCTTAGCATGTCGTGAACACCCTGTGTAGCTTCCCACACCATGACAATCAACACGCGAGTGAAGCCGACATCGGCAGACATATGCAAATTCAAGGACTCCTCAAACGAGTCACGGGGAGCACGAACGTGTGACAGACACACACGGGCAGCTCCTGGCCCACACACAATACCTTTCTCGCTTCACCCTGCACAGTCTGCGTTGCCACAACACCACCGAATATAAAACGTAAGCAGCGATGAGAAGGCCCTCCCTCTCCTCCCCTGCGCTGACCCTCCGCCTTCCGCGTCCATCCATCCACCCTCACACCCTTCCCTCTACCACCCCACCCTACAGCCACGCCCCACACGGCTTGTTCTCCTCCTCGGTCCGCTCGTGGGGGAACTTGTAGTGGTTGGGCCGCGCCTCCTTGCAGGCCCTCTGGATGGCGTCTATCCGCCACTTGTGCCTGCAGGCCCGGTTGATGATGTACCACTGGTACACCTGTCCCTCTTGAGGTCCTCCGCCGCCCTCGGGGTCAAGGCCGTCTTGATGGCCATAATCCCCACCCTCTTGTCGTCGGGCGTCGACTCTGCGTACGTACGGCAGGGAGACATACGAAAGAAGTGCATGTTGTGCGGCTCACCTTCCGCTTGGTTGGAAGACAGAAAGGAGACCGCAGCGATCGCCCCCGTCCAGAGATCCGATCGGCAATCAAAGCCGCTGAACTTCAGATCGTTCTGCAGGAAGTCCAGGAAGGCCTCGTCGGATTGAGTGATGCGCTCTAAGAACTCCTTGGCGTGCGGATTGTCCTGGACGCCAGAAGTGAGTCTGTCGTTCTTGCGGTCTTGTACGAGCCGCCTGATGAACTGCAGCTCTGGAGGCGTCGATGTGTCCTTCCCCTGAAGCTCGAAGCTGCCCTCTGTCTGGCCCGCAGAATAGATGTGGCCCACTTGCAGAGTGAAGGTCCGCAGGGAAGAGGGAGAGCTGTCTGGGGGGGACGATCCGGAGGACCGGAGGGCAGGGGCGGGCGACGACAGATCGATGAAGGGGCGGCTCGGCGCTAATGGATGCGACTGCATGGACGCTCAGGAGAATGCTGACACACACGGAGAGAGAGCGAGAAGCGGCCATCCATCCATCGGTGTCTCGTTCGACATGTCCTGCCGCTCAGCTGCCCTTGTCTGTCTGCATGACTTACTTGGTGCCAGTTGCAGACCCTCTCTCTGCTCTTGACCCAGCTCCACTATGGCCTCCCATACATCCCCGGGCACCGCCATCTTGTGCACCGCAAGTATGAGGGCGGGGATCGAAGTCGCAAAAAAGGCTCTTCGAAATATAAAAAGTAGGCAGGGATGGACCGCTGCAAAGTATACACACACATATGCACGGAAAGTCATGAGTGAGACACGACTTGTGCGACCTTCCATTTCTGACCTGCGCGATCTCCGGATCACTCCTTGGCTTGTTCTCCTCCTCGGTCCGCTCGTGGGGGTACTTGTAGTGGTCTGGCCACTGCTCCTTGTAGGCCTGCTGGATGGCGTCGCGCTGCCACTCCTGCTTGCAGGCCCGGTTGATGTACCAGCGGTACACCTGCTCCCTCTTGAGGTCCTCTGCCGCCCTCTCGGTCAGGGCCGTCTTGATGGCCACACGCCTCACCCTCTTGTCGTCGGGCGTCAGGACGATGTGGAACGTGATGACCGTCTCGTTGCCCCTGCGTTTGGTGTACGCCGGGAGCACTCTCCAGGTGCTGGCGGGCGGCAGGGGGGGCGGTGCCGGCGGCTAGTAAGGCACATCCTTGTACTTGGCCACGAGGTGGGCCAGGCCCTCAAAATTGCACACCCGCTCCGGCTTCTTCACCACTTTTTTTCTTCTCCTTCTGCTGCTGGGATGGGCCGGCCTGCGGCTCTTCGCTTGGCGGCGCCTCTGTGGCGGCGGCATGCTCGTCAGCCGAGGGGACCTCAGGGTGGGGCGGCTGCTGTGTGTCGGTCTCGGGTGAGGTGATGGGCTCGACACTTGGTGCTGCTGGCGTGGGAGCGGTGATGCCTCCGGCTGGCTGCACGTCGATGGTGGCGGTGGCGGGCCTGAATGAATGAAGGCGCCAGAGTGCAATATGTGTGTGTCCATTGCAAGTAGTAACAGGGGCCACTTAAGCAAGCTTACATGTTATCATCGTCGCCCACCACGCACCAGCCATCCACGTCAGCCTCGGGGCAGCCGGTGGGGATCTCCCTCGTCATCCCCGCGCGATCTCCCTCCTGGCGGCCCTCGCGGCCTTCCTGCGGCTTTCCCCAGTCCACAAAGCCCAGGCCCTTCAGCGACGCGGCGGCGACTTCAGACTCGTCCAAATAAAGATCCTCTGACGTCAAGGCCACCTGCTGCTGTGGCCGTGGAGTGCTGTGGCGGCCGCCCATGACGACTGAGGGCAGCAAATGTGCACCAAGGGGGGAAACGGGCGATATCGTTTGCCGTCTGGCAAGGGCTCACGAAAAGCTGATATCTTCAAAAGGTTCTGCGCGACTTTTCTTTTCCGCCCCCGTCTCAGTTGCCCGTCTCGTCCAACATTTTCTCGCCGCTTCGTCCACGTGGTACCATCGGCGCTTCGCGTGTCGCACACGGATTGATCCTTTTGAACTGATCAAGAGTTATCATGACTGTCCATCACGACACACATCAATCGGATCGTATCATTGATGAGACTCACGAATCCATCCACACACACAGAGAGTGGATGGAGCGGCAGCAGGCAGACGCAGCGGACGCACATCACATAGCCAGCCGGTCATGCCATGGACGGATCAATACACGAATCCAGCTAGCTGGGGACGGATGTGTGGTAGGTGACGTGGCGGAACGTGTGTGTCGAGTTTCAAACCACCATCAGGAACGAGAAAACAAAAAAGAAAAAATGGCCTCAGCGCGCTCATGGTTAGCTGCCTGGCTGCCTGGCTGGATCGCCGCATCACATCGACAAACACTTTTTACTGAGGTAAGCAGCTCACATTCAACAGAGTTGTGGGTGGTACTGCTCCAGCCAGGCAGCCAGACCCTCATAGTTGCACACCCGGGGGGGCCTCTCTACCACCTCCCTCTGCTGCGATGGCCACACACACATATCCCCGCCCCCGCCCACTGTGAACACCTCAATCTCATCAGCAAAGAACACATCAAGGTTGTGTCCCGGAACCGGTGGGATGTTGGGATGCAGCTGCACCATCGTCGCGCCCCCCCCCCGTCCACCGGGCCCCGCGCCCAACCCAAAGGCAGGGCGCCCAGAGCCCTAGTAGCCACACGGGTCGACGTCCGATGCACCGGCCCACCCTCAGCTTGGCTTGCGGCAGCCGTTGCTCGTTGTCTGCTCGCGAGACCGAGATGCAGTGATTGATCAACGAGGGCGACTGGAAGGCGGGCGGGGAGGCGCCGGATGCCTTGAAGACGAGGACGGCCGCGTTATAGTCATGAAAAATTCGTGGGCCGTTGTGTATCTCCATGGGCGAAGGCGGCTGGATACTCTCGTCAATGAAGCAGCCGTCCATGTCTCCATTGGCGCGGACGAGGAACAGCAGGCCAGTCGCATCGCCCACGCGACCGAGCATGCCGGTGTACTCATGCCCGTGCTGAGTGGCCCTGCAACAATGCCAAGAGAGGAGAACAAGACACAGCACATGGGCCAGGTGGCTGAACATTTGTCCAATGCTCCTTACTTGTAGAGCAGCTGGAGGCCTGTGATGCGCTTGCCCGTCTTCTGCACTACGGCTATCAGCTGAGCGGCAGAGGCGATCACCGAGGGGCTGGTGAGACACGGCCTGCCGCCATGCAGCCGCAGCATGGGCTCCATCGCCAGGCCGCGCTGCTGCATGACGGACATGAGTGGCGCCTTGAGCGGTCGAGGCGTATAGGGGGGATCGATCACACTCATGGGGCTAGCAGCATTCACGCGGCCGGTGAAGTCGGTGGCGAGCGCCTTGGCTGTGGCATCGGGTGGAAGGGAGGGGAGGTAGCCAGTCGACGAGTAGGCAAATGCCGCCTTGCGCAACTGGTGGATAAACACAGACACATTGCAAGGAAATAACAGGGTGCCTCCTTCCCTCCATGCGCATCTACCCAGATTTGTGTCTTTTCTTACCGCTGCGATGTGCTCTGCGGTCATGAAGAGCTCTATCCGCCCTCCCGAGAGGTAAATGAAGCTGAAGATCTGATGTGCACCGGCCGTCATGACGTAACGCACTTCTGTGTCCATGCCGTGGATGGCTATCCGCTGGGGCTGGATGGCTATCCGCTGGGGAGCAAATCGTCGCTGCATCGCTGCCTTGAGGGCATCCAGATGGGGGTGCTGGGGCAGGACGACCCCCAGCTGAGAGATGGACTCTACCTCGAGGGCCGACCAGATGCTCGACAGAATGAAGGTCCCCGGATCAACCACAGCGGCAGACGGCACTGCAACAACCGAGACATGGAGACACGGAGGCACAGAGACGTGGAGCGCATTCTTTCCATCTCTTGGCCACTTACCGTCTAGGTGCATGATTAGATTTTTGATGCTTGGCAGGTCATCCTTGTAATCGCCCAGTGTGATGCCCTCCCTCTCGTCCTCAGCCTTGATGAGCTCACGGCCAGCCTCAGACACAAAGCCCAGGCTCAGGCCGTTGATCTGGCGAGGGGAGCCGCCTGAGCCTCTGCTGATGAGGACCTGGCGCGCCTCTGTCTCACTGCCGGACATGGTGAGCTGGTCCAGCGAGGTCATGAGGGGTCTCATGAGTGCCGCCAGGCGGATGGCGATGTCCCCTCTGGCAGTGAGTGTCTGCACTCTCCCCAGCCGTCCGTCGAAAGGGCGGCACAGGCAGCTGCCAGGAGGGCGTCAGGGAGGCGAGCTGCACCTGGCTCGGCATCTGCGACGCCCGAATGCCCTTGAGCAGGTCCAGCACGTCTGCAGGCGCCATGTCCATCAGCTGCACGTTGCCGAGATCGCATTGCGCCCCCTTGCTCAGCAGCATGTTGGCCACTCCCAGCCCGATGCGGCTCTTGACGGTCAGACCTGTCACCGCAAGGAGCCCGATCGGGCTGAAGGCCTCGATCTCGGGCGGCTCAGGTGGGACCGCATCGGGTGGCGGGGTCCATCCGTCCGCACACTCGATGGAAATGCTGTATCCCTCAGTCCCACTGCCTCGCAACACCAGCCCACTCTGCATGCTGTGAGCGATAGGGCCGTTCTGGGGGAGGGCGACTTGGTCCTGCGTGACCGTCCAGACGTAGCGGCATTGGGAGAAGATCGGGCCATGCGCCTTGATTCTCGGGCAGAGGGGAGAATTTCATCCAGCGCATGCCGCATTGAGACCAGCGCATGTCTGGAGACAGCGTATGTCTGGAGCAGCGCATTGAGCAGTGGAAGACCGCAGGCAGGCAGCTTGCTGAAATCGAACCGGGTGTAGGCCAGCAGATGGGGGAGAGGGATGTCTCGCACCTCCTCGTCGGCAAAGGGGTGACTGCAGATGCTGACCGTGCCCGAGGGCGAGCAGGTCGCGTCGATCAGTGAGGCGAGGGCCTTGAATGTCGAGTAGTCGTTGAGGATCAGCGAATGACAGTCGTTGCGATGCACCTCTACGCACAGGAGATCCAGAGACTTCGAGCAGCCTCGACCAACCAAGCACGTCTGCAAGCAAGAAGAGCACACCCGACAGAGCCAAGAAGGCGTCAATGTGATCTCTGGCCTCCTGTGTTTCTCTCTATGTCACCCACCTGGAGGTCCCGAAGGCCGTCTGTGAGATCACCCGCTTCGACTTCGTAGAGCTTGATGGAGCCGATCGTCCGCAGCTTCGCCAGAGGCCCCTGCCTCCACCGCTGCCCTACTGGGATTGCCGCCAGCAACTCGGCTACCTGTGATGGCGCCGGCAGGACCCCATCCAGATTGACGAGGGACCTCGCCGTGGCAACGAATGGCCTGATGGGCGCTATCTCGTCGGACAACGGTGCAGACACACACTTGATCGCTGGCATGGCCCATCCCCGCCCATCGATGACCGAGTGGGCGATGTGGACCCCGCTGGCCTCGGTGAGTGCCGGCAGGTTGATGGCTTGAGAAGGGGCGGCAGCCGGGGGGTTGGCATTGGTATTGTTAAGCTGGTTGATCTCGTCTCGTCCGGTGTTGGGACACACCACCGGCTCGAAGCTCAGTGACTTGAGCGAGCCCTCGGGCATGCCGGTGGCTGGTCCCTCCTTGTCGCGCGCCGCCTGCCGTCCCGCCGCATGGCCCTCGACGAGTGCGATGACGACCCCAAGGCACCAAGCAAACGCACCGTGCCCCAAGTAGCCATCTTCGGTCCCCTCTGCCCCATCAGGTGTCCGCGGAATCCGATGGACGAGACATGTGAGGTTGATCATCTGTTGGCCGAGTTCGTATGCCGTCTGCGGCGCCATGCTGCTCCAGAATCTCCGCTGCCGAGTGATGCTGTAGTCGATGACGAGCTCGGTGTGGTGCTGCAGGACGACGCCGCTGAGTGGGGAGGGCAGGGGCGGCTTCAGACACCATATGGGATTGACGAATGCATAGACGTCGACGTGGAGCTCTCGAGGCTGCGCACACACGGACGGCAAACACAAAAGAATGAATGCATCTGCCACCTCCGCTTGAGCCATTTGTTTGTCGTTGCATTCTTACGTACCACAGAGATACCGAACCAGCCCTGCATCCGAATGGCCTGTCGTTCAGCAGCACCCAAACGAACCAAAGAAGGACGACTGGACAACACATTGGATGCTGCTGCTTGTGATCATGTACCTTGAAAACGGCCGCGGCAGCCTCGCTATCCTCCGTACCGCCATCAGCGGCACAATCGCCATCAGCAGACGACGAAGCGGCTTCAGCGAGGGCGCCACCTGCAGGAAATGAGATGCATCAGCAACAGCCGAAAGAATGCACCATCAATGGCTTCAGTACCTTGCTGCCGGCCGGCTGGCCGCCAGATCTGCCGCTTGCGAGTCATGCTTGAGCGTCAATAGCGATGTCTATCACACGTGTCCAGTATAAGTATCAAACACGCAGCCGTTCGTCCGAGCCGTTGATATCATTGCGAGCTGGAAGCCATCTCCTTCCTGGTCTTGGAATCATCCCCGTCGCATTACGGTACAAGTGAGCCAAACCTGCAGGAAGCACAGCAAGAAAAATGCCAACTGCATCTTGTGCTGCATGTCTGCTTGTGTTGCGAGCGGCGCAGAAACAACGATGAAGAGCGCGATGACGAGCAGCCCTGCCACCACCACCAGCAGCGGCAGCAACAGTCAAATGATGAAGATCAACGTCGGCGGCCGTGTCATCGACTTCCCGGTAGCTGAACTGCTTCGTTCTGAGTGGCAGGGTACGCCCATCACAGTGCTGCTTCGCTTTGAGGACTGGCTGCTGACCGATGACAGAGGCATCCCGTTCAAAGACGCTGATCCAGAGTACTTCATCCGGTGAGTTGAGTGCATCACACACACACACACACACGTGGGCAGTTAGTCACTCACAGCTACCTTTCTGTCTGTTGCTGGGTGCTTCTGGCTGACAGGTTGGCTGGGCTGTTGCGTGGTGTGGACACGGGTGCCTTGGACTCGTGGGACTTCTCTGAGTATCGCCACCGTTTCCTCGCCCGCACATCGATGAGCACCGACACCCAGGCGCAGGGCAGCCCAGCACCGCCCGACCTGACCGTCAACGCACAGCCCGGTGACGAGAGCAGTGACGCCCTCCGTGACTTCAAGACCGTGATGGGGCCCTTTATCAAGACCGAATGTGGCGGGACGGGCGGGCGGGAGGTCAAGACCATGACCTTCACCGACGGCAGCACCGGCACATGCGCGGTGTCCACAACCGATGCCACGCTGGAACATTTCGAGGGACTCAGAGGCCGATTTGACCGGTCGGTCAGTCAGTTAGAGGGAGGGAAGGAAGCGTCGCAATTCACCCATCGTTGGCTCTGTGTGTGTGTGTTGTGTTGTGTTGTGCCAGTGACAGGTTTAGCACGACTGTTTCGCGAGGAACGGGTGAGACTGTGGAGCAGTTCCAGAAGCAGGTCCTACACTTCCAGAAGTACGCACGTCAGCTGTGGCGTGCTGTGCATGCCACGCAAGCCACAGCACCACTCAGTACACGACATACCGGGTGCTGTCTGGGACCGTCTCTCTCTCTCTCTCTCTCTCCTATGTGCAGGGTGGTCGACTGGGCGCGGCGCATTCGGATCTCGGGTGACGGCGGGATCGAGGGCGCCGGCCCGGCATATCCACCTTCCTCTGACGACCCGAGGGGGCTGGCTGATGCGTGTGAGATGTATGGCATCTTCGAGCAAGCCTACCGCTGCATCCTGGGCAAGAAATACAACATCCGCCACCTCTACACGTACGGAAACGAACAACAAGGGAAGGGCACGCTCAGAAGCATAACACGTGTGTGTGTGTGTGTGTGTGTGTGCGTGTGTAGGAGCTGTGTTGGTGAGGAGCATGCTGTGCCGTATGCTGACCTCCTGGACCACCTGGGTGGCGGTGGTTCGTCACGAGGCCGCCTGATGGTCCTCGAGACGAACAACGCGGAGCGGCTCATCTGCCACATTGACGGCCCCCTCCCCCTCCGCACGGACAGCACATGCCCCCAGCTGACCGGCCGCAAGGTCACCCTTCACAGGATGACCATGAAGGAAGGCAATAAGCCCATCATCACCACCACACTGCCGCCTGAGGACGACAGACAGCACGACCACTTCGTCGTCGCCGCGGGAGTCCACGGCGGTGTCACTGGCGCCGTCAAGGCCACCAACGATGAGACAGTGAAGGGCCGTGTGGCCTTGGCCGGCGGGCGGGTGTGGCTCGGGGTCGGCAAGGACGACGATATGCGCAAGTGCCGCGTGTGTCTCGACCCATCTGCGGAGGAGACGCAGCAGCGGACGGTGCACCTGCGGAACGGCGCAGACTCATTCAAAGGCACCGGTGCAATGGTCGGAAGGGCTCGGGGCATCGAATTCTATGAGGTGAGTGGGTGGGTGGGTCGGCTAGAGCAGGTTGCGAGTTAATTGATGTGTGTCTAATCGTGGGCAGGTTTGGAGTGACGAGGTAGCTGCCCCGTATTGCCCGAGTCGCAGCTGAACCACCTGGTCAACGCGGCATGGGAGGGGAAGGCCTGCGCACAGCTCCTCTACAAGTGAGGCAGGCAATGCAGACACACACACAAAGAGAATGTGCAGAGCACCATCGTGTCCTTGCGTTTTGTTCCTCTCCGATTAGGGGCCGTCGTGACGGCTGGTCGTATGAGACAATGATGGCCAAGGTCGGCGTGGGGAGCTCCCTTCTGCAGGTGGCCAAGCACCGCCACCTCATCGACAAAGCCACGCCCCTCCTGCTGGTGGTCAAGCGCACCGACACAGACAAACTCGCTTGCTTACTCGGCAACCCTCTCCCTCTCCCGCCCCCCCGGTCCGACTCTCACACGGCGCTCATCAAGTGCCCCGTGACCTTCTTCTCCATCAGCCAGGATGAGGGCATCACGAGGGTGCAGGTGCCGGAGGAAGACTGGGTGGTGGAGGTGGTGGGGCCATTGGGGGCAGTGACGGACATGGTGGGGTGGCCGACGGGCAGTGTGGCCATCGGACGAGGCCGCCTCTGGCTGGGCTACGCCAGATATGGCCTCTCCGCGACGGATGACATGCTGTTCCCTGCTGATGACCCTGGGGTGGTGTATGGCCCTGCCGGTGACCTCCGTCGCGTCTGTCACTTCGTATGGCCGAGCAGGACCAGGGGGGAAGTCGATTTCGCACTCCGCGCGTCTCTCATCACCAAGTGGGAGAGTCTGGTGGGGTGTGTCGACTTCACTGCTGAGGACATCGAAATCTACGCCGTGAAGGTCAGTTGGTCAGTCAGGCGCAACACGACGGGAGGGAAAGCGTCGAATGGATGGTGTGTCTGTGGTGGGGTGTCATGTGTGTGCAGGACCGCCAAGATGGGCTGGTTGAGAGCAGTGCCGTCACAAACAAGTCGCGCACCACATCTCACGGTAGACAACTAGAGCCTCCCTGCCTGCCTGCCTGCCACGTGTGTTGGATGTGGTGTGCGTGGCACTGCACTGCATGTAGGTGTCGTCACGTTTAGAGACCTGCCCGCCATGCCGGCGTCTCAGGCCGACAAGAAGCATCTATACCAGTAAGGAAGACAACGAGACAGAGCACTTACAGACGACGGTTAGAGGGTGGGCACATGGTCCCTGTGTGTGTGTGCGTGTGTGTATGTGTGTGTGCAGGCGTATCGTCAAGGTGAAGAGAACATTGGAGATGAAGGGCATTCAGCTCAATGTGAACGGGACGCAAGACAGGCCCTCCTACATGGAAGAGTGCCACATAGGGTACTTCACGGCTGATGACGAGATCAAGACTCTCATCGCAAGGTCCGTGGCACGCGCTCAACTCAAAGACGGCAACAGTGCCATTTCCTTCTCTTTGTCTGTCTGTCTGTCTGTCTGTGTCTGTTTGGGTTGGCCCATGCATCAGTTGGCGGAGTCAGAGGATGGTCCGTCATGCACACGAGGCCCTCGACAACATCAGCCGCCATCTTGCCCGGGTCCCTGGCCCCTGCAGACCTCTCCACATCATGCTGATCCTCAAGGAGCGCCAGGATATGATCAATGAGCTGCTCATCCGTTTGTCCAACGGGGAGCTGGAGAGGGAGTACCAGACCGCCTTGAGCTTGGACTTCTGGTGAGCGGAGCAGACACGCGAGGACGGCGTGTCTGCGTATCTGTTTGTGTGTGCTGAATGCAGTCATTCTACCGAGATTGAGGAGCAGATCAACGACGTCCATGACGCGGACCGTTTGCATCGCATCAGCAAGGACGGTGTGCTTCACTTGGAGCAGCTAAGCAGGCGTGCCAGAGACTTCCGCGTCATCTTGGAGGACGCTGTTGGTGCGCTCGCGAGGGCCAACCGAGCCGACCAGGCGGACATGCAGCAGTAAGCCAACACCATGGACGTGGGACACTGCCAAGTCTCTTGTCTGTGCGTCTATGGGGGGTGGGCGTTCAGGTTTTCGCAGAACGTGCAAGTGCAGCAGCAGCCGGGCGTGACAGCGTCCGGTCCGTCACCATCGCCGGCCAGCAGTGAGTCGCCCTTAGACACCACGCAGCAGCAGGGAGGGGCTGGGGGCAGCGGGGAGTCACAGCTCGAAAATGAGTATCGCAAGCTCATGGGCCTGCACTTCATGTGAGAGAACATAGAGACACACACGGCCGAATGGATGGCAGTCATGTCTGTGTGTGTGGTGTATGCAGTCGTGCTACCGATGAGGAAGAGCGTCAGCTGATTGAGGAGCAGATCAAGGAGTGCCATGACGCGGGCCGTTTGGATCGGCTGGTGGGCATCAGCCAGGACGTCGAGCGGCACTTGGACCAGCTGACCAAGCGTGCCAGAGAGCGCCACGACGTCTTCGCCAGGAAGCTGTACGTCGTTTGCCTGAGGGGGCTGGAGCGCAAAGAACGTGAGATGCTGGCGCTCCGCAAAGAGGCCGACGCGCATATGCAGCAGTAAGCCAACACCATGGACGTGGGACACTGCCAAATATGTTGTCTGTGCGTCTGTGGGGTGGGGGAGGGGTTCAGGTGTTTGCAGAACGTGCAGGTCGAGCAGCAGCCGGTCAGGAGTGAGTCGCCCTTAAACAAGACGCAGCAAAAGGAGACAGCGCAGTTGTGCTGCGAGTGCTTCGAGCGGGACAGGTGCGTCGCCTTCCTCCCATGTGTAAGCACGCAACACACACACGCACACACGCGGAGGCATTGGCTGACATATGTGTCGTTGTGGGGTGTGTGTGTGTCAGAGGCATCTGTCCGTGTGCCAGCAGTGCTCCGACAACTTGATGGCCAAGCCGCAGAGCGAGCGCGTCTGCCCCATTTGCCGCCAGGAGATAGCATGTGCGCTATCCTTATTCGTTTAAGAGCACCATACACACACACACACACAATTGGGGGCCGAGAAGTGGTTTGTGTGCCTCGTTTCCCCTCGTCAAGTCAATGCGGCCTGCCTTTTGTGCTGGCTGGTATACCTTTTTGGCGGTGCGTATCTGCCTTGCCTAGCATGTACATACTTACCTACCAGCCTGCATACCATACCCTCGCACATGGTGAGCTGGGATCAATCTGCCTTCCTTGCCTGGCCTGGCTTGCATGGGTGCATCTTTCCTTGTGTAGCTAGATGTGTATACGTATCTATCGGTCGCTCAATCCTCTCTGACTACATACATGCCGCATGGATGGATGGATGGGCGGACTCTGATGCAGTGCGGCTGCCTATGTGCGATACTTTCCATTGAATGAATGCACACCGCCGTGAGTCGACATTCGACCCATCCATCCATCCGACCATCCATCAGTCTCTCGTGCAGACAGTCAAACACCTCACTACCAAAGCCTCAACAACATTCATTCAAACGCCCTGCCGAAAACGGGCTGACTGGCTTACAGAGGCCGTCTCAAGCAAAGCCCTGTCTACCCTTGTGTGTCTATCTGCCTTGCCTGGCCCCCTCTCCCCTCCCGTTGGCCACCCGGTGCAGCACGGGTCTCTGCACCACACCTGAGAACCCACCCGCATCAGTGACGTTATCGTCATGGCCGTCCCACCCCAGGGAGTCGTCGATGATGTCGCCACTGGCTATCCAGTACAACCACGAGTCGCCCCCACCCGTGCCGCACTCGACCGAGGAAGCGCCAAAGCCTCCGTCGCTCATATGTGCCGGGGGGTGCTCGCCAGGGTGGCCTGGGTCGGGGATGTGCATCGCCGAGGCGTACAGATGAGAGTGGAGGCGGGTGGGCATCATCATGGCCATCGGGGGATGGGGGCTGCTATCCGTTGCTGCTGCTGGTGGAGGGGGCGACGGGGGTGAATGCTCTCCCTCGTGTGGCGGGCCTGGAGGATAATCCTCATACTCTTCTGGTGGCGGCGAGTGGTCAGCAGGAGGGGGTGGGGGAGGGGGCGGGTAGTAGTCAGTGTGTGGGGGTGGGGGAGGGGAATAGTAAGACCCGTCATCGTGAGGAGGGGGTGGCGAGGGATGGTGCGGCATGTCGCTGGGGAAATGTTCGTAGGGCTCTGCCGTCGGCTGGTCGGCGCTGCCGACGTCGTATTCCGTCTCGTGTGATGGGTGGGGATGCTCGGTGTTGTGGGGGTCGAAGTTATCCGTGTAGATGGGTCCATGGCCAGGTGGGATGTGCATCACGTTGGGCGAGTGTAGATTCAGGAAGCCGAAAAGAGAGTGGCTGAAGTCATTGCAGGTGTCGAACTCACGATCTGATGAAAAGGGAGAGACACACACACGTGTCTGCTCATGTTGACGTTTTCTCTGCTGGGGTCGCTGACCTGCGAATGACCGCCAGTCGACACATCCGGTGACGGTGTGGTTGGGGAGTGGGAAGGTGAGGTATGCACAGTAAGAGTATTGTGTGCAGTTGCCGTGGTCGAGGCCTGCGCAGGCCCCCTGGCTCTGTGTCTCCTCCTGGTGTGTCTTGCACTCCTGCCGCTGGTCCTTGATCCACGTCAAGTAGTGCTCCATGTTCATCAAATCCCACTCCTGAATGCAGCCAGCCACACACACAGAGAGATAGATGAGATGGAGATGGAGATATTGACAATGACAACAGGTCTGTGTGTGTCTTTGCTGTCTTACGAAGTTGTTAATGTCCATTTGGAAGTAAGACAGATCATACTGCATCTCCATGACGTCATCTGCAGATAACAACAGGACCAGCACACCATGCCTTCACCTCTTTCCCCCTGCACACACGTGTGTGTGTGTGTGTATGTGTGTGTGTCGTCTGCCTTACACCAGCACTGCTCCTCGTGTGGCGGCGGTGCGGGGCAGTGGCACATGTCGCACATCGGACACTCGTAGTAATCGTGGTGGTCGTGGGCGCCCGGGTCATGCCTCTGCCTCAGCTGCATGGCCCTCTCTCGACGCCTCCGGTCGTTCACCCAATCAGTGGCCCTCGACGCACCCGACCCAACACCGCCCCTTTGTCGCATTGTGGCGCGGTGATTGTGATGGATGTGTCTCCGCTGCTTTGCCGTCCTCTGTGTGAATGACATCCATCCGCCGTCGTCATAGTCGTGTGGTGGGCCGGGGTAGTCGGCTGGGGCGCAGCCGGCGGCCATGAGGTGGGCCTCTGTTGCCGTGATGGCGTGGATCTTCTTGTTCATTTCCTCCCACTGCACATACGCGGGCAGCAAAAGGCACACACGGAGATGGGGCGGGGTTTGCGTGTGTCTGGTTGGGTGGATGTGTGCGTGCCGCTTACGATTTGGTCGAGGATGGCTTCGTATGTATGTAGCTCCGCTGCCAGCTGGGCCTTCGTGTCTGAGGGAAGCACGGAAGGGCCGCATACGGACCACTGACAGCTCAGGTCTTTCTTTCTTCTCACCATCGCATTCATTTGGTGGGGGCGGAGGGCGACAGTAGCAGGGAGGACAGGGGAAGCACCCTGAGAGAGGAGACACCAGGGCATGTTCCATATGCAGGCAGCCGTGTGTCCCCATATGTCTCTCTCCCTCTCCCTCTCTCCCCGTGTGTGTGTGTGTGTGTGGGTGTCTGTGTGTCTGTGTGTCTGTGTGTCTGTGTGTCTGTGTGTCTGTGTTACGTGGTGCGTCGAATGCGATCCACGCCACTGACTCGCCGCCCGCAGGGCCATCTATCTCGTCGCTGCAAACAGACAGGCAAGCAGTGGGGCGGCCTTGTGTGTGTTTGTATCTGTGAAAGTGCCTAACGGGTCGGTGCACGATTCGTTCTGCACTTTGACAGAGAAGTGCTGGCTGTCCATCGACATGCCGTCCTTGCGCAAATCTGCAGCACCGTACATACACACATACACCGACACAATCGCAATCAGAGGAGACGCATCTCGTGTCGGATTGGTTACGTGCTGCCTGTTTGCTGTCGAATGACGTGATGCTCCCGAAAACCCACGGCCATCCCGTAAACTCGTGTGTGCTGATCGAGTGCCAGTGCGACCCCACGTCGTGCTGAGACACACGCGAAAACATCGTCACACACGTAAATGTCTCCTCCTATTATCTGCCTGTCAATACCGTTTCTCCGACTCTGACTTTTGCGCCGTCGATCCAGCTGCCCTCGGAGCCGACAAATGCGACCCACCCAACGTCTGCACATTGGCGTGAGTCGGGGGAATCGAGGGGACAGTGAGAGCGACAGGAAGGTGTCTCGTCAGTCAGCTGACCTTCGCCCATGAATGTGTCGGGCTCGTCCTCGTTGACGAGGTCGATCCCCTCGGTCTCGAGAGCCACCTCGAACCCAAGTTCCGTCACGTTGCGCACACGGGCCTTGACAAACATCCTGTCGGACGCCATCGTCTGCACCTGCACACACACATCCGGACAAACGGGGGAAGAGAATGGGCCAGAGGTTCCTTCGTTTGATTGAGTGACGCGTGCATGTGCGGACCTGTACGAAGACTTTCGGCTGGTCGAGCATGTCGGGGAAGTGGATGTGATGCCATTGTTGGTCGCCGGGGATGAAGGTCTTGCCAGCTGTACAGGCAGACAGACAGACAGAGCGGGAGGGGGGAGGGGGGAGGGGGGAGGTAAGGAGATGCTCATGTGACTGACTGTATGAGAACATTTCGTGACAGTATACCCACCCCAGTATTGGATGCCGTTCAGGTCTCGCCCATTCCCTGCCTCCAGCACCTGGCACACACAATAAGTACACACAAGTACACACACACACACACACATATGTGACGTGCCCTTCTCCTCAAAGCAGCAGGCACCCATTCCTGCTTGCCCCCACCAACCATAATGTCGACATTTTCCCAGTCGTGCCACTGATCTAGGCAGGAGCTCTCCTCCAGATGGACAAGGAACGACTCCGGCGTCACCTCGCTGATGCGAACCACGACCTCAGGCTCACCCCACGCTGTCGGCATTCCCGCTATCACAACCTACAGATCGGGGACGAATAGCAAGATCCCTGAGTCTCAATGTATGTGTTTGTGCGTGTCTTGCTGACTGACCGGGTTTGGGTTATGTGGCATGATGACCTTGGCGTAGTGAGCGTCCAAACCCAGATCCATCACATACAAAGGAGCACCGGGATTCTGAACACACACACACGCGCGCGAAGACACCGTGAGGCATACGAGCATGTCTGTCTATATCTTTTTCTCGCCTCACCATGAGGCCATAGTCCCAGATGGTCTCGACATGGTAGCTGTCCATAGCGTGGAAGGGTTCATACGTGCCGTTGTCGATGTGCTCGTGCCACTCCCCCATGTCGTGGTGGTAGTGCTCCACGTGGCCCATGTGGGCCTCGTCATTCACATCGATGTAGTCGGGCTCGTGTGTCACCATCGGCGGGTACATGCTGGGGTCGTGGGTGTGTGCCGGGTCGTAAGAATGGCCATGATCGTAGTGGTGGTGATGGTCATGATGGGGCGGATAGTGCTCATACGGCGGCGGATGGGGTGAGTTCTCCTCTGTATGAAGCGGGGGTGGGTAGTAGTCCATGTGCGGCGAGGGAGGCGCATAGTAGGGGTCGTGAGGTGGGGGTGGCGGGGGAGGAGGGGGATAGGAGGCGTCATTATGGTGCGTCTCTGGCGGCGGGTGGTGGGTGGTGTGCTCTTTCTCCCCTTGGGCCCCTCCAGCCATCATGTCGCCGGCGTCCATGATATCGCCGGGGTCGCTGACGAGGTCGTCGGCCCAGTCCTGCACACTCGAGTCGTCATTGTTCTCCAGCGGGATCTGCCCGTGCAAGCCTCTCTTCTTCCCATGCGCCAGATGACTGCGGCGCACGATGGCCTCATCGGACTGCAACACCCGCTCGGCACCGAGCAGCAGCTTCTTGAAGCGGTTGACGCGGCTGCGAAGGGCATCCAACGAATGACGGAGGGCATCTGCAGGGCCAAACACACGAGGGGAAACGGAGTGTGTTGGAGTTCTTGTGGCGGCTTACTGATCTTGCTGCCGGTGCCGTCGGCTGAGCGGATGCGATGGAAAAATGCCCGGCTGACCTTTTTCCTGCGCATCACACAACACACCATGTACAGAGAGAGATCTGCGCCTGCAGCACTGGAGAGATCTTCCTCTCTTCTGGCAATGTGGCTGACCTGTTGGGCTTGGCCTGGGAGGTGCATTGGAGAACGAGAACTAATGCGGCGAAAAAGATCCGATGCACACGCATTCCTTACAGCCTTTCCTGCCTTCAAAAGAATAGCTTTTCAACTTCCAAGATCACGGCCAGAATCGCGCGCGGGCTTGGCCAGGTCCACGGCCAGCATCGCGGCCGTTGGTGTTGGATGGTCTTGGGGAGGCGACGCGGAAGGGGCTGACGGCACCTCAGCCCTGTCTATTTAAACCTGCCTGCCTGGGTGCTGCGTGGCGTGCCTGTCTGTCTGTCAGTCTGTCTGTCTGTCGTCTGTTTGTCTGGCTGTCTTATCACTCCTCTGTCTGTATGGGAAGTTTTCAGTCTGTCCCTGCGTGTCTATCGTCGTCTGATCGTGAGCCCCGCGTGACGGCCACTGTCATCCCCTGGGGCCATGCCGACCACCTGCACACCTTCACACACGACACCACCACCCCTGGTGGCTGTGGGAGTGGGAGAGAGGCCGATGCAGACGCAGTCAAGCGGCGGCCGGTGGTCAAGCACGGCAGCCTCAAACACATGACGCCGCACTACTTCGGGGATATATACCTACTCGGTGAGGCAGGCGACGAAAGCAGAAAAGGGGCGAAGTGACTGAATTTGGCCAGCTGTTGATGTGTTTGTTGTCTTGCGTGTCGATCAGGGCGGAAGATTGCCGCAGGCACGTTCGGGAGCGTGTACATCGCCCACCACAGACACCTTCAGGAGAAGAGAGGTCAGCCCCATACCCATCCACCAACCAGGACCGCCTAGTGAGTGGCCATCCATTTCTGTGTGTCGATCGATCAGCTGTCAAGATAGTCCGTAAGGATGTGCTGCGCCGTTCGCGTCGACCGAAGAACAACGCCACCGGGAGCGTCACCCCCGCCACGGATGTCAAGGAGCGGTGGGGCGGCTCCTGGGCCTGGGAGGAGGCGGCGCTGCTCAACGACCTTGACCACCCTAGCATCGTCCGGGTAGCCAATGGACAGACTGACAGACAGACAGACAGACAGATGGGAAGGATACGGATGGGTGCGGTGTGGTGTGGTTTGGTGTGGTGTGTGTTGTGTATCAGGTGTATGAGGTGTACGAGGATGAGGACCACGTGTATTGTGTGATGGAGATGAGCAAGGGAGGGGAGCTCTTCGACCGCTTCCTGCAGCGCAACTTCACAGAACCGGAGGCCGCTGAGATACTCAAACAGGTCAGACCGCCACGCCAATGGTGTTTCTGTCGCTTCTTGACCGCATCTGATTGGCGTCCGCGTGTGTCATTGCAGCTGCTGGGTGCCGTTGCCTACCTCCACGAGCAGGGCATCTGTCACAGGTATGCACGCTTACGCGCTCACACACACATGTTCTGCACACGAATACGCCAACCCTCCGCTGCCCTTCCCCCGTCAACATAGAGACATCAAGCTTGAGAACGTCATGTTCGACTCGTCCGATCGTGACACCAGACCCCCCGGCCTCAAGTCCCTCATCAAACTCATCGACTTTGGTTGTGCCGTCCGGTTCACACAGCTGCACCCCATCCCCTCGCCCACATTCAAGCCCAAGACCCACCACCACCAGCAGCAGCAGCAGCCAGACATCGACAAGGAGCCGCTGGGCGAGGTGGTTGAGACCATGGACGCACCGGAGGGCTACCAGTGGCACCGACAGGACATGAGAGACGTCGTCGGCACGACTCTCTACATGGGTGCGTCAAGACAAGACAGCCCAGGCATCTCTCTCAATGAAATGAAGGTCGTCTGTGGTGTGTCCCTCTGTCCCTCCCTGTCTGTCAGCTCCCGAGATGTTCACTGGTCGGTATGACGAGTCGGTGGACGTGTGGGCTTGCGGCGTGCTGCTGTACATGCTCCTGTGCGGCCGGCCGCCCTATGTGGGCGAGTCCGAGGAGGAGACCGAGCAGCTGCTGCGGCGGGTGGCCGAAGGGCAGCACGACGCACGGCTGCCCCTGGTGCCACGGCAGGTGTGGGACCGCATCTCACAGTCGTGCATCGACCTCGTCACTCGGCTACTGCAGCACGACCCAAACAAGCGCATCTCCGCCTCTAGGGCACTGCAACACCCGTGGTAAGAAAGCGACGTTGCCATGCCAGCAGAGCAGATGGGAATGACCTGCACTACACGTGTGCGCTCTGCTGGGTGTGGTGTGTTTGTGTGGGCAGGCTGCAGTATTCGATTCCGAGTGTGCCCTACGTGCTGCCCCGCAGGCACAAGTGGCTCCGCAACACAGATGTGGGTCAGCGGCTGGCGCGGATGGGCAGCTCCTCCGTGGACAAGGGCGGCAACACCCACATGGACGTGCAGGGGGCCATCGAGGCGATGAGGGACTTCCCGCAGACCAATGCACTCCAACAGGTTGGCGAGTGGGCAGAGGAGAGAGAGAGAGAGAAAATACCTTGTGTGCATGTCTTTGTGTGGTTGTCTGTTCGTGAAGTTGGTATTGCGGTGCATCGTTCGTCACCTGATGAGCAAGGCCGAGAGCAACGCGCTGCTGCCCGTCTTCAGAGCCATCGAAACACCTGCCAAAGCGGTAGGCAGCAGACCAGACCGCACACGTCCGATCCGATGCCCTCTTTGTGTATCTGTGTCTGCATGTGCTATCCATGCAGGGCATCACTCTCCGCGATCTCCGGAAGGCCGCCAACGCGTCCTTCAAGAGACCGTCTGCCCAGACACTCATCAAGAGTCTCAATGACAAGGGCACCCACCCCACCACACACCCGCCCCATGTGCATCAGCGCATGTCCACCAAGGAGGCGCAGACGTGCTTCCAACGGGTCGACATGGACGGAGACGGCGTCATCAGGTGTGTGTATGTGTGTGTGTGTGTGTGTGACACGTCTGTGTCATGTGTCTTGTGTCGTACTGGTCCAGCTGGAGTGAGTTCGTGTTGGCGACTGCGTCCAGGGACCACCTACTCACAGAGCAGAGACTCGCGGTGAGGGGACGGAGGGAGAGAGAGAGAGAGAGAGAGAGAGAGAGGAGGGGCTCGTCGTGTGTATCTCTGTCTGTGTGGTTTGGCTGTGTATGTGTATGTCAGTATGTGTTTGAGATGCTCGATGCTGACGGCGACGGCATCATCACGGCACACGACATCATGCACTGCCTCGCACCCAACAGGTAAGGAACACACCACACCCCTTCACTCCACACACCACACAGGCGCACACGCGTCTCGCCTTTCCCTCCCTCATGGATATGTGCTGTGCGTGTGTGTATGTGAAGGTATGACCACTGGACATACATGTGGTGCCACGACATCCTCCACGGAGCTGCCGTAGATTCCAAGAGAACAGACGCACCCATCGGTGGGTAACGCCAATGCCACACCATACATACCATCACCCCAACCCCACCACCACCACCAGCACACTCTTGTTTGCAATGCAATGCCCCTCCCACCCTCGCATGTGCCCATGTGCTGGCATCAGACTACATCGAGTTCCTGGACATCATGGCCCCCCTGGTGCCCTCCTCCTCCCGCACCCGCACCCCCCTCCCCCCGCCCAGAGGCCTCAACCCCTTGACGCCCGGCAACAGATCCCCACTCACACCCCCATTCATCCGGTGCATCCCCCTCCCAGCATTCATGCGCTTCCAGCCATGCTCGTCTTCATCGCCATCGCGACGCGACACGGACTCCACCACCATAGACACCGACAGCAGCGGCTCGCACTCGCGCTCGTCCATGCTCAACCACAAGGGCAGGGTGGCGCGTGCCAGGAGGGGCCTGGGCAATGGGAGAGGGAGGGGTGGGAGGGGGTTCTACCGCCGCATTCCGGACGCGCTGCTGCAGCGTGGCGCGGTCAGCCTGACGGTGTCGGGGCCGACGGGCAGCACCGACGTGTCTGTGTGCGGTGACCATTACACGAGTGGCGGGAAGGACCGGTGCGGCACCCACATGTCGGCCTCCACCGTGGCGGGCTGCTCCTCCTCACACACCGACGGTGGGTGGGAGTGCGACGACCTGGCCGGCCCTACCGACACGTCATGTGTGTCGTCGGCCTCTCTCTGCGCCATGGACAACCACCAACACAAACACCACCACCTGCCCCCATGCCGCAGCCTGACGGACCACCCCGACAGCGAGGAGGGCGGCCTGCCGTCCATCCCACCGTCATTCACCCTCTCCCGGTCCCGCTCGTCGCCATACAAGCACAAGGACAAGAAGAAGGGTGTGTCTGCATCATCGCTGGACTACCCGATGCTGGATCACCCCCAATTTTGGCGGCTGCTGGGGAGCCCCAAGGTGATGGAAGAGTGGTCGGCGACCCTGAGGACCTTCACGGCCGAGCAGAGGGGGCAGCTGCCGCATGTCGACCTGGTGGGAGAGGGGGAGGGGGAGAGGGAGAGGGAGAGGGGTTCCCTGCCGTTCATGCCGGTGATGCAGTCGCCCCGGCTCCTGTGGACCACCAGATCCAGGGAGGGCACCAGGTGATGATTGGATTGGGCAGGGGG